CTGTCCCAATCACAAAAAAACCCACAACCAGAAAAATAACCCCCCTCAAAAACAAACACGGCACACACACACACATTCGACCACATACAAAGACAGAGGTAGAGTTTATGGAAAAATGAGACCATGATACGGTTTTCCTGCTTTCTCTCCTCTTCCCCTTTACCCTTTGAAATCATCCACCCCTGAAAAGGGGCACTGAGAGTTCAGCTGGTCACAGCAGGGTGCTGGGAGTTTCTGCTGCCGCTTCAACTACAGATATGAGACAAACAGCCCACACACTGCCCATTTTGTATTTTGTTCATTGACTGCACAACAGGGCCCTAGGGCTGGGAACTGGAGGTGATGACGTGCTAAACTGTCTTCTGTCACATGGTGAAACACCGATGTGCGTTGCGTGTATGTGTGGGGTGTGTGGTGTTGTGTGTGTGCATGTGTAAAAGTGATGAGGAAGCTGGCGTTTGAGCCCAAAGCAGGCCCTTATATGGAGCGCTGAAGCTGTTTTCTCTCTCCTCCACTGTTTCCCCCCCAGCACTCTGTCCAAAAGCACTCAAGGTCGGAAGGGAAAAGACCATCCTTCCAAGTCACAATTTACATATTTGTAGCGATGCAGGATATTTTGCAGAGCGTTGGCAGGCTGTGGCCAGTGAGGGGCTGTTGGAGTGGACATCTGTGTCCCCAGCTCCACTCTGCTCTGCTAACCTTTACACACCCACCAGACCATTTGCTCCTCTCTTCTCACTCAGCCCTACAGAGGTGCAGAACAAATTAGACACACAATGAGCCAGGGCCAAGCTCCCTCTCTCTAGTCATCATCATCATCATTCTCATTATTATCATCAAGCATCATCATCAGCGTCATCAGCATCATCATCATCAGCATCATCAGCATCATCATCACCATCATTCTCATTATTATCACACCTTCATCTCATCATCACATCATCATCATCATCATCACCGTCATCATCAGCATCATCAGCATCATTACCATCACATCACCACATCAGCATCATCGCCATCATCAGCATCCTCACCGTCAATCATCGCATTATCACCACCATCATCATCATCATTATCATCATCGTGAAAAACTAAAATGTAATTCATTCACTGACAGGATACCTACTACTGTACATGGCTGAAGGCCTACATCAACTTCTTTTTCACAAAACATCATAAATCCAGTGGAGGCTGCTGAGGGAGGACGGCTCATAATAATGGCTGTAATGGAGCAAATGGAGTGGCAATCAAATACATGGAAATCATGTGATTGATGTATTTGATACCATTCACACAATTCCGCTCCAGCCATTACCACGAGCGCCGTCCTCCCCAGTTTAAGGTGCCACCCAACCTCCTGTTTATAAATCTATGGAGCCCGACTTCAGACTTAGGAAATGCACGCCTTTCCAGTGTGTGTAAAGTACTTAAGTAAAAATATTTAAAAGTACTACTTAAGGATTTTTTGGGCTATCTGTACTTTTACTTTACTACGTATTGTCACAGGTGCTGAAGGTGGGTGTGGTGCAGGAAATCAGCGCAGGACGCATAAACTAAGTCCAAAAGATTTTAGTGAAATATTCACGTGGTACACGCCCACAGAGCCCGAGGCAAATAAAGGCGACACAGCCAAACAAAGGCGCACTACATGTGCGAAAAACCTCTCCAACAACGAGGAACAACACGAACACCAAACAGAAGCGTAATCCACCACAACACCTGACCACACATAACGAGAACTAAATAGGACACTAATGAGACTAACTAGAAACAGGTGTACAACATCAAGACAAAACCAAACGAACATGAAACATACAACGGTGGCAGCTAGTACTCCGGGGGACGACGACCCCCGAAACCTGCCCGAGCAAGGAGGAGGAGCAGCCTCGCCGAAACCGTGACAGTACCCACCTCCCCCCCATTGACCGCCCCGGGGAACCCCCCCCCGATAGGAGAGACGGTCTAGGATGTCCCTCCGCTGCACCCACACCGCTCCCCCCCGGCCGTACCCCC